AGACAAGACTTCCACTGTGGCCCAGGGAAGCCAAAAGATTCGCCACCCCTGATTTAGAGAGAGAAAGAGCAGGATCTTTATAATGTCCTGCGTAGTTTTGTTAAACTTTGGAAACAGCTACAGTAGGTACCTGTTAAGTGCACCTCCCCAGATGATAGGGACAGATCGCCCCCTTCTCTGCACCAGCCCTTATTTCGTTAGTCTTATGATCTCACATTAAAATTCTCATTGTACATTCAAGTCAGTAAGGATTGGTTTAGCTGAATGTAGCAAGAAACCCAAGTAACAGGAGCTTTAAAAAGATGGAGGTTTCTTTTTCTCACATGCAAAAGGAAGCTGGCAATAAGGCATCTGGAGCTGCCACAGTGGCTCCAGGGTCATTAAGCACCCAGGCACCTCCTTTCTGCCCCCCAGCCTTAGCGTGTAGCTCCCATATCAAACTTACCTCACAGTGTTGATGTCTGCTGGTGTTCCAGCTATCAAGTTGATATTCCAGGCAGAACAGAGACAAAGTGGGGGGCAGGCAGGCAGTGGAATGCCCCCAGTCTGAGGCAGCCCACTTTAAAGGACTTTCCTAGATGCCCCAGCAGTGATGACAGCTGACACCTCATTGGCCACCTCTAGCTGCACAGGAGTGTGGAGAGTGTAAACTTCTAGACGTACACTGGCCCCATAAGGAAAAAGGAGAGATGGATGCCGGGCAGGCCACAGTTATCTCATGTAGTTATCTCGCATTTTCATGATGTAGGCTCATAGTTATGTGTAATTCGCATTATGAAGAAATCAGCATTGATTAACCAGGCATGGTGGCACATGCCTGTGATCCCAGCTACTCAGGAGGCTGAGGCAGGAGGATCACTTAAGCCCAGGTGTTTAAGACCAGCCTGGGCGACATAGTGAGAGAGCCTGCCTCTAAAAACAATAGAGAAAGAGAGAAAAGGAGAAAAGAAAGGAAGATATGGTTGGAACGTAGTAGAGGAGTGGCATTTTGGAGAAAGCGCTGAACAGAGGTCAGAATATTTGGGGTTCATGTCTTCGCTTCTATATGGATTGACTTTTCTGGGCCTTCATTGCTCACCAAAAACTGAGGGACAGTGATTCTTGCAGCGTTCACACACACACTAGTCTCGAACTTGCAAGGGTGGGGTCCCCTTCGGTGCAGCACCCACGTATTCCTCTGGCTGCCCCTCTAGACCTTCTGCCACTCCTGCGTCCAAGCCGGAATCACCTCTCACTTGCACTTTTACTGGTCCCTTAACTAGGTCCTCTTGCCACAATACTCCACCTCTTGTTTGCCTTGACCCAAGTCAAGGTGATCTTTTTTAACCACACTGCTGAATGGGTTGGTCTTCCATTTTTAACATTTTAACAGCTTTCCCTCCCCTCTGAGTGGAGTATGGCATCTGTTTTCTGGCCCTATCCCACTTCTCTTTTTATTTTCTCTTCTCTGCCTTCCCCACCCCCATCCTCACCCTCACCCTTCTGTATCCACACTCACAACCCATTTCTGTCTCTGACCGTCTCCACGTCCAGTTGTGTCATGGGCTTCTCACCCCTGCCCCAGCTCCAGCCTCTGGGTCTCTGAGCTCCTCCTCTTCAGAGGCTATCTCCTCTGAAAAGTTTTCCCTGACTCCCTCAGGCTGAGTCATGTCTTCCAGATCCCTCTAGGCCTGTGTGCCCTCCTCTGGGCTAGCACATTCCAGATGCTAGGTCACTTATCTCAATTCTTGCCGGTTTTCCCTTCCTGGACTCAGAGCTTTCTGCAGGCAGGAATCACGTCTGCAAGTCTCACCTACACAAGTTGCCTGGAACAGAAGGCGCTCACTGCTTATCTTCAGAGTGATTCAGGGCTGGGGCTGCTCTTCCAGGGCTCCTCCAGGTTTTCTGTGTGGTAATTGGAGATAACCACGAGATAACTGTGGCCTGCCCAGCATCCATCTCACCTTTTTCCTTACAGGATCAGTGCACATTGTGTGCGGTACGTGCCTTGCACTTGTAAGAAAAAGCCCTGCCTGTCTATCAGTCATCACTACAGAGCCATTTGCTTTCAGTGCATTGGGCTCAGATTCCTCCTCTCGCCCACTCATCAGAGATCTGCTGAGCAGAGTTGTCTATCAGGACTGTGCGGGGCCCAGCGGCACAGACAGCAGTGTTTACCAGCCCTGCCTTTGCGAGGATCTCAGTTAGGGGGCTGGAAAAGGGAAGACAGACATGAACTGGAGCACGTGACCTCATAGGGATCACATACATAGATCACACAGATGGTCCAGGTGGCAGCAGAGGAGGGCAGGCTTCATGAGCATGCCACCAGGCTGCGGGCAGTGAATGGGTGGACACAAGAGAGCCATCCCTTCAGGAGAGGGCAGGAAGCCAGTCACCTCTCCTGCTGCTGCAGCACGTTTCTCCTCTTTGTCTGCCATGACTGTCTGCTGGCCAGATTCCCACCAGCTGCCCTAGGGACGCTCATGCCCTAGGTGCTGCACTGGTTGGAGACCTCACACATCTTTCTGTTGACACTGGTCAATTTTGTTGAGGGCCCAAAGACTGCTGGAGCTGCAAAGGACTATAAAGATCACCTAGAAGTTTCCAGACCTCATCATACAGGCAAGGAACTGAGACCGGAGGAAGTGGAGAGTCTCACGTGGCAAGTAGCAGAGCCACCCAGGCTGCAGCCCACCTGTCCTGACCCCGCCCTATCCCAGGGCCTTTCCAGGATGCCACCTTTTCTTCCTGAGTGCCAGAAGTAGAACATGTAGACCAACACTGGGTTGTTCAGAGACCATGCGACTGTTTATTAGAGGCGTCCCAGATGGATCCTGGAACCATGGACAGTGCCTGTAATCACAGAAGCTGAGAGTCGGAAGGAATCCGTCTGGTTCAACCCTGGTCTAGCAGACACCTTCCTTCTCCATCCTCTCTTTCTGCTCCTCATGGAGACAGAGAACTCACAGCTTACCAAGGCAGCCCATTGCATTTTTGAACGGGTTTCTCCTTATGCCATGCCATGACTCCTACATGCCACTAAAGCCTTGGAAAGATGATGGTAAACTCTGTCAAGTACTCCTGGAATGTCTGATTGCGGACACTGCTAGGATGGGTTCCTGATGAATCCCCTGAGATCAATTAAATATGGAACAGGCTCCCAGGTAACCGAATCATCCAGGCTGTTATACAGAATTGTTTGTATTAGCCCCATTTTAATTATCCAAAACATAATGTTTCCCCTTTTTTTAAGGCTCATTGGCATTCTAGCCTTTCGTTTCTGAATGTCATCTGATAGTGGGTTCATGTGTCTGTTGAGGTTAATATATGAGAACAAAACCATGTACTGTTCAGGGTGGAGGACAGTGCCAATCCTCCTCTTCTCTGTAGTAGGATTTAGATGTCTTCGCTCACCCAGCAATTTCAGGTTCTCCAGAAGGGAAGCCCAAACAAGTTCCTGTGCGGCTTTCATCGTGACTGTACCGTAGCCCCGAGAAACCCCGTGTGGCTCCTCACAGGCTCAAGATGACTTCCAGCCTTGCCACCTAAAGTGTGGCCTGCGGACCAGCAGCATCAGCATTACCCGCGGGTTGCGAGAAACACAGCATCCCAGACCCGCCCCATCCACTTGCATCAAAAATCCTCTCTATATTAATGAGAGGAAGGGAAGACTGAAGACACAGTAGCGAAGCTCATCATGGTGACTTGTTAGGAGTTGTGCTGGAGCGCTCATTCTCTACACCGCCTTGGGTCTTTTTGTTTCTAATTCAGGCTTTCACTTGCAATTAAAAGTACCTGCAAGGTCCCCCCCATCCCCTAAATCTCCACCGTCTACTTTTCCTTCTTCTTAGATGATGTGCTGCTCTCGCCTTTTCCTTCACTTTCTCTTGCACCACCATAACACTCAGCAGTTATTATGTGTGCCACGGACCTTCAAGATGCCTTTGAGCAAGCGCAGACTGAAGACCAAGCAAATGGCACGGGAAACCGAACACCTCAGATGGACCGCGGGGCTGTCCTTGGTGACTGAGCACCACTCTGTAACATGTGCTGTAGTAATGACGTGATCGCTGTTTGTCCTGGGCCTTCACTTCTAAATAGAGTGCTAAGGTGGGAGAGGAAAACCATATGAGGATATTGACCCCTGGCTGCTCTGGGTGGCAGCTCTGGCCTTTCGGAGTTTACCGTCATTTACTTAAACAGCAGTTACCCCAAATTACCCATAGATAGTTATCAATTGCTCTGAAATCCAGATAGAGTCGCTAATGATCAGCCCTTTCTTCATCACTTCCACTAGTTCCTAAAAATGTATCACTCAGGAAATGCTTTTAGAGAAAAATTGTGGCAAGACCCTTTGTTCCAGAGGAAAGATGTGCTATAACCCCAGATGATGGCTCCAGCATCCACCTGGGCCAGTGGAAACACTGGGCTCTAAGACACTTAATAAAAAGAACACTTTCAGAAGAAGCGGGCAGGAAAGAGGGAAGACAGGAGGTGCAGGCACTCAGGCAGCTGTCCTCAACCCACCCGGGATGAGCCGCGGAATAGTGTTTGCGTTACCCTGAATGCAATGATTTTTCTACCCCAGCAAAGACGGTACCCATCTCTGCATTGTTCTAAAACACTTTCCCTATGCAAGAATCGGTTTAAGGGAAGGAAATCCTCTTAGGAGAGGAGGTGCTGGGCACACATCTGATAGCTCTGCCACCAGCAGGCAGTCCTCACCCAGCCCATCACAGCCCCAGAATCCCAGGCTACAGCCTCATGCTGTTTCAGAGAGAAGACATGGGCATGTGGATCCCTCTAACTTCTCACTGTGAGGGAAGTGGGAGCTGGATGATGCATGGAACTAGCCAAGGCAGTGCTAATGACTGGCTTCGCCCCACAGTGCAGTGACAAGAGGGATCAGTCCAGGGATGGCTAACACCGTATCATAAAGGTTAGGAAATGTTCCTTCTGACCGTTCCTAGGGGCTAGAGGGCCGCAGTTCCTGACCTGTGTCCTTTCTTTGCCTTCAGGTCCACATTGGCCAACTGTATTCAACTGACAAGCTGATTATTGAGAATCGAGACATGCCCAGGACCTAGCAAGCCGGGACCAGCCACCAGCAGCAGCCAGGGACCACCTTCAGCATCCATTCTGTGTTTGAGATGGGGGCTCCCAAAGCCAGATTACAACAGCCTCTTGTGCAGCCTGCCCTGTGGGAGCTGATAAACTGAGTCACATTTGCATTCTGCTGTAGCCTTACTGAAAAAGGACGGCTGTCTGTCCTTGGTTCAAGTGTTAGAATGAAGAGCTGGAGCACCTTCCGAATAATGCCATGTGTTACCGCGTCTCCCCTCCACCCCACTCCTATCTTGTAGCTCATGACCACTGTGTATAGTATTTCTACACTTTGTTTCTTGGTCCTTGACAATAAAAAGAATTGTCTTCCTGAGCCTTTCACACCAGATAAACCCCTCCCGATTAATGCATTTTCATTTCCTACTGATACAGGGCCTGAAGAGGGCTGTGGGGGACCCACAGGGAGGGCTCAACCCTGAGCTGAGAACTGCCTTGGTGAAAGTGAGTCCAAATACCACTTGAGACTGTGGACAGTGTGGAGTAGGGCAGGGCCACAGGGGTACAAGGTGCACCCTGCAACTCATACCTGGCCCTAGTACAACAAAGGTGAGGTGTGTATAGGTACACACCCAGAGATGGGGCACTGTGGATCAGCAGCCTCAGCCCCACCCGGAGCTTACTAGAAATGCAGGCTCAAGCCCCTCCCCACACCTGGTAAATGAGAGCCCCAGCCTGACCCAAGCCCATGGTGACCCCCACCCTGGAGCCTGGGACATGCTGGGCAGCCCAAATCTGGCTGGTGGACTGAAGCACCTGGAGAGTTGGAGAGCTTTTTCAAAAGACATCTCAGCACTTCCCTCTCTGCAGATTCTGACTCAGTAAGTGAGGGGTGAGGCATGATCATTTTTCTCTATTTCTAAAGCTCTCCCAGTGTCTTTTAATGTTTAGCCAGTTGGGGACCCCTGCCCTTTCAGTATATTACAAGTAATAAGGGTATTGTTGGTGTGCTTTTATTCTTGAAAACACACTCATTCCAAACATAGAATGTATTAAATAACTTGCTTGTCATTGGGGAGTTTAGGAGGGACCAGACCCCGTCAGAGTGGCCTCCTGTTTCCTTTGCATGCAGTGCTGAGTGGATTCCGTATCTGTGTGTTCAGGTTTAGAACAGGCTTATATAAATAGCACAGGTCCCAGAATAGCTGCAGCACTGTCACCCCCTCATTTAACTCTCACAGTCATGGGAGTGAGCACGTGCAGGCTGAGCCCACGTTCTTCTCACCCTCATGTTTGAGCTCATGTCTTCTGGTCTCTTCTAGAGAACATAGATTTGCTGCAATGATGCATTCAAATAGACGTAACGTGCAGCCATTCTATTTGCAGTACAACTGTCACAGGGCAGAGCTGCCCAGCCCAGCCCTGCGTGGGGCTCTGGCTCAGGTTTTCCATCCTGCATCAGTGGAGTTCGTGGTCACTCAGCAGCGAATGCATCCAACCTTCAGTACTAACAGACGCCACTGCCAATTTATACTTAAGCTACTTGGAAACCAAAGTCCAGATTGGAACCTCCGTACTAAAGGTATCAAATTGCTAGCAAGATAACAGCTCCATAGGAGACTTCTCCCACTCCCCCAGTTTTTAGGCAATGAGGTAGTCCACCCAAACGTAATGTGGCCTGCAGGCTGTAACAGCAGGTTGCTTTTCTGTTCATTAAACAGGATGAATGGGTTTGAACTTGCCCAAAGCCTTGCAAAACTAATTTTTGTAACTCGGATAAAATTATGCATTTGGAATCTGCAGAAAGATATAAATCCAAATTCTGTGGCAGGAAATGCCACAAACAGAGGCCTTGGTCCTCCACACTTCAGGTGTGTATCGGGCAGGCAGAGCCTGGCACTGGGTACTCCCCAAGTCAGACGACCTAAGATTGACCCCAACTCAGATGACCCAAGCTAGAGCTTTGAATGAAGCGGCATTCCCATGGGGATGATCCCTGGTGTCCTCTAGGGAAGCATTTCGCCTCCTTGACTATGCCCCAGCTGAGGGGACTATGGGGAACACCAGCCATCATGGCCAGCCTCATAGAACTCTCTAGAACTTGTGCCTGCTTTGAAGATAGGATCCAGGCTGGGGTCTGGAGATCACTTTGCAGTGCCAACATTTAGCAAGTGAGAAATACTATCATTAGTTAACTTCCCAGGCAAAACTCATTGGCTGAGCAAGGCTATCCCCTTAGACATTCAGAGATGGCTCTGGGCTGGGCTGGCTGTCATGACACAATAGCTGGGAAATCTTGCATGACCAAGCGCAGGACTGTGGTGTTCTGATGGCTGTTGGAATCTGGATTGTGGAACTGAAAGAATTGGCTAGATTGCTTTAGGTATACTCCATCCTGCTACTAAGTACTGCTACCTTCAACTCCCTTCATCTACAGCCTCACCCGTTATCTCAAGCCCCGCCATACAATCCACCGTCCAGTCCACCATCCAGGAGCAAAAGGGACAGAGCTCACCTAGTCCAACCCCCAAATCTCCAGGTGTTAAAACTAAGAACCTGAACATCCACAGATCATGTACAGAGCCAGGGCCTTTCCCCTAAGCCCCTTTCACTCATTCATTTGTTCACTCAGTATTGACAAAGGCCAACTAGGGCCAGGTGCCAGGGAGCAACCAGTGAACAAGACAGACCTATCTGCACAGAGCCTGTGGCTAGCAGGGAAATCCAAGAAGAAAATGACAAGTCTTACGAATGTTACAAAGGGGAAAATATGAGTGCTGCCTCAGCTGATGGGAAGGGCTCCCTGGGGAGGGGATGCTTTCGCTTGTGAATTAATGATGAGGATTGGCTGTGTGAAGGTGGAGAGATGGGCTCTCTAGGCAAGAGGAACAGCACATTCCCTTAATGGGGGGAGAGGGTAGTGCTGTGCAAAGAACTAAAGGGAGTCCGGGATGGTGGCAGGCAAGGAAGAGGGACCTTTCCACATCATGGAGGGCCTTGGAGTCTCAGCCTAAGGATGGTATTTGTATGTATGTATGTATGTATGTGTGTGTGTGTGTGTGTATATACACATTTATATAAGGTGTGTGCACACACACACCATCCTTAGGCTGAGCCTCCTTGGCCCTCCATGATGTGTGTGTGTGTGTGTGTGTGTGTGTGTGTGTGTGTGTGTATGTATGTGTATATATATATATACACACACATATATATATATATATATTTTTTTTTTGAGACAGAGTCTCGCTCTGTTGCTCAGGCTAGAGTGCAGTGGTGTGATCTTGGCTCACTGCAACCTCTGCCTCCTAGGTTCAAGCAATTCTCCTGCCTCAGCCTCCCAAGTAGGTTGGACTACAGGTACATGCCACCGTGCCCAGCTAATTTTTATATTTTTTAATAGAGACAGGGTTTTGCCCTGTTGGCCAGGCTGGTCTTGACCTCCTGACCTCAGGTGATCCGCCTGCCTCGGCCTCCTGAAGTGCTGTGATTACAGTCGTGAGCCACCATGCCCAGCCAAGGTTTGTATTTTTTTAAAGGCCATTGTCTGCTTTTGAGGGGATACACAGGGAGATGCAGAGAGACCAGATTTTGGGAGGAGTGGGGCATTGGGCGTGGCTTCCAGGCAAGCGATGATGGTGACTTCACCAGGAGATAACAGCTGAACAGAAGCAGAGTCAGCATCACCCTGAGAACTGGCTGGGCTGGGCCTCCTTTAAGGAGGACAGGAAACCTGGAGCAGAGCTGCCCCAGCTGAGCACAGCCCAAGCTCCTAGCCCACCTGCGGATACACGAGGAAGTCCACAGAGTCCCCTAGCCTGGTCTCACTTAGGTCAGTCAACTTCAGCCACCCCTCAGTCGTGTGCTAAATAATTAACTGTTGCATTAGTCATGAGTTTGGTGGTAGAGATTATGATGAAATAAGAGCAAACTGATACAGAGAGCATCTCGTGTAATACCTTAATGTATTACCTGCTCAGGGCCACATGGCAAACCGAAGGGTAGGTAAAAAAAATTGACCAAAACTGCAGGTCTCCTGTATGGGGGCATTTCTACAAATACTGTCAGAATACAGGTCACTCCCTTTAGAGAACAAGTCCTGGAGGAGCAGTCATCACGTGTTCCACAGATAGAAGGGCTGGCCAACCAGAAAGAAAAGGAAAAGTTGAGTCGCCAGGACTTGATGATTGATTGAATGAGGAGACCAGGGCTGATTATACTTTAAAAATTCACTGGAGCCAGATGCAGTGGCTCATGCCTGGTAACCTCAGCACTTTGAGAGGCCGAGGTGGTTAGATCACTTGAGCTCAGAAGATCGAGACCAGCCTGGGCAGCATAGTGAAACCCTGTCTATACAAAACATACAAAACTTAGCTGCATGTGGTGGCATGCAACTATTGTCCTGCCTACTCTGGAGCCTGAGGTGGGAGGATCCCTTAGCCTGGGAGGCGGAGGTTGCAGTGAGCTATGATCACACCACAGTACTTCAGCCTGTGTGTCAGAGTGAGACCCTGTCTCAAAAAAAAAAAAAAAAAAATTCACTGGAATAAAACAACTTGAAAGACCCTTACAAGAATTTTACCGATAACTCTCTGTAGAGCAAATAACTTCCTTCTTTAGGCAAAGCCCTCTGTATGTAACTTCGATTGGAAGAGGAGGGCTAGTAGGGGGAAAATTTTCTACTTTGGTCATGAGATTAACTTTAAAAGTTTGAGGAAGTTTGCTTTATGTATTGGCTGCTTCTAAGAATGAACACGAGATCAACATGAGAGGCGATTTTCATCCATCGTTGGATGGCTGTGTGTCAGTAGCCCAGGATATGATTCAGAAGCCACATGAAGCAGCTGCCTTGCCTGGATCTCTGGGATGGACACATTCGCTGAGATCACAGAGATGAAGCTGGCAGAGCCCATGTGGATATTCATTATTATGAACAAAACAACAGCCAACAGGAACCGTACCACATGCATACCCCGAGTTGACAGATGCCTCCCTGCTTAATCTAGTGTTTGCCAGTTGTTACAAAATGATCTAGAGAAAAACTGGAACTTGATAGAGAAAAACTGGAACTTGATGGAGAAAGCAATGACTTATGATTCAGCAAGCTTTCTTTGAGAGTTTACCTAAAATCTATATGGACGGTGGCTCAGCTCACCTCTGAGAACAATAGGATCTTCACTTTTCAATCTTTCTGCAGCCCTTATTAGTGCCACAGGGAACCATGGATGAAAATTGCCCCTCGTGTTGATATCCATTTGGGGAATAGGATGGATGCAGTTGCTTTTGCTCAAGGGCAGAGTTTTAACTCCAAAGACCCTGAAGAGAGAACCCAGAAGGAAAACTCTCAGAGATTAACGGACTGTATTCTTCACCTGGGGGATCATTGACACCACAGCAGTAACAGCCGAATCCGAGTCATGCTGTCTTGAAATTAGATCACAAGAATCACTGACACCAAAAGAGCTGGAACTGCACTTGGAGTCTGTCTGAGTAGCCAGTCTCAGGCTAACCACATCTGTGCTGATCACAGCATGGCCCGTGTTAATCATGAGGCATTCTGGCTGCACCTCCACGGGACTCAAGACTTCCAGTGAGACGCTGGCTCTGCAGGAAAACAGCTGCCTGGAAATGGTCTGCATTTTTTTCCTAGTAAAGGGCTAAGCTTTCTTAGTCAAATGGTACTAAATAGAAACGTTTTTCTTCCGTCAGCCAGAAAGGTACTTTACTTTGGTGGGGAGTGTCAGTTAGATATTGTTGAAACATTTCACTAGAACTTCCTATCAATTACCTAGGGAATTCATGTGACTTCATCGGTCTTGAATACAGAGACCATCTAATAACAATACAATTGTTTGTAGTCTTAAAGGAACATTTCATTTATGTGCATATATGTGATATACACAGCACACGTAGGATGTATGATCAAGGACTGCAATGCTGAGGCTAAGAGTCTTGTCAAGAGTTGCCAAATACACTCATTGATATTTCAAGCATGTAACGTATTTAAAATCATTAATTT